TTTTCTTAAATATATACATGCATGGGTGTGTATTTATATATACATAATAAATGTGCACAGTACACACACATATTATGTGAAGAAAATCTTTTATTTTGGATGCGATTAATCGCGATTAATCATTTGGCAGCACACATAAATATATATATATATATATATATATATATGTAATAGCATATAAATAATACTAAAATAACACTGGTGTTAGCATGAACGGAAGCTGCAGATTTGCCTGGTCAGCTGTTTGTCCCTGTACAAGCTTAACTACAGCAAATCTGAAGGAATCTCATTAAAGCACTACTGAAGTCTAAACTCGTCGTCACACAACAAACAACACACTGAACTGAATTAAAGTACAGCGCAATCCCAACACTATACACATCGCATTCAACAAAAAAGTACAGAGAGCTGCAGGAAAAGTGTGCCAATTGCTTTTTTGGAATTTTTTTGTTGTTGCTACATTTGTCAGATAATTTGATGCTATGAAACTATAAAAGCAAACTGGCAATAACAATAAATACAGTTGAAATACAATTTCAGTTTTGTAACAGAACAAGGGGTTTGATTCCTAGGGAACTCATAAAATATACCTTCAATCTGTAAGTTGCTTTGGATAAATGCATCTGCCAAATGCATTAAATGTAAATGCAAAATACAATGACAAATAATGCAATGTGAGTTTAAAAGTTTTGTCTTAACATTGAAACACTACTTTAACATTTTTATGTATTTTTTATTTTTATATTTTCATTTTTATGTCGATACAGTTTTTGTTAATTTCATTTCAGTTTTAGTTTTTTTTTATTTTGTATTTTTTAATTTTATTTAAATTTTTAGCAATTTTATTGTGCGTTTGTCAGTTTTATTATTTATTATTTTTTAAAATATGTCAATACCATTTTTGTTCATTTTATTTCAGTTTTAATTTTAGTTTCATTTTCATTTTAGTTAAAGTTTTAGCAATTTTGTTGCGCGTTTTTGTCATTTTTATTCATTTATTTTCAAATACGTCTATATAATTTTTTATTCATGAGAAACTGAAAATCAGAAATGTCACTTTGACAGCTGAAATATAAGTTTTTTTTAAATATTTTATTTCATTTCAAGTAATGAAATTTTTTCTGGTTTTAGTTTTAATTTATTTGTGGAGAACAATATAACAGGGCTATTATAATGAACTAAGACAAGTAATTTCCTGATCTAATTACCAGGCACCTGACTCAGTAAAACCTACAGTTTGTTATTGAAAGGATAATGCTAACGGTCAATGTTTTGCTACGCAAAGTAGCTGTAGTACGCTTAAGTTCTTTAAAGGTTTTGCTTCAAAAGGCCAAGCAGCTGTTGTTGATTGGCTTTAATTAGTCTGCATTAGGCTGGATGCTAATCTAAGCCACATGAAGGTGAGAGTAAGCTAAGCTTATTCTAATGTCAGAAACATGCACTAACACACGTGCAACCTGTCTGACCCCTGACCCTGAGCACAAACACGCTCTTGAATGCATACGCACAATTAATGCTGCATGCTTCTGCAGGCATGATTCTTCTAATCCGACTGCTTTTACCATGATTCGCCTGGTACTTGTAGTGTTGAAAGTCATGAATGGGTTAGAGTGCCTCTTTTAAGTCCTTATGTAAACATGCTAAAGTCATGCAGTCATCTGATCATAAATAGCTGAACTCCTAGACTTAAATATTTTAAAATATTATAATACATTAAATATTAATGGAAAACTACTTCTATAAAATGTATTTTATTGCTTAACTTACTCATTTAGCACTGGGAAACCCCGATTTAAAGAAGCAGTTTAACTAAAAATGTAATTTCTGTCATTTACCTTTATGTTGTTCCAAACTCAACATATATATGGTGCTATTTCTTCTGTGGAACACAATAGGAACATTATTTGAACGTTCACACAGATCTTTTCAAATGCAATAATGGTTCACAGTGATAGTCCAGACTTGTGCACCAAGTCTTCTAAAGGTTTATGTGAGAAACAGATTGAAATACAACTTTTAAATGTCATTCACCCTTCCGCTAATTCACTAATGACAAGCAAACACAAATTTCAGAAGATCAGTGAAGGGAAATGTTATCAGTGAACTTCAATTTTGGTACATTTCTTACACAAAGCGATCAAGCATAACTAGGACTTCAGAAGACTTGGATTTTGGAGCATGAGTCTGATTTTTGGGTGAACTATCCCTTTAAATTAAAGAAATTAATCAAACCTTCTTGCATTTTTATAAATAAAGGTTGTTTATTGGCACTAATGTTTCCATGAAGAACCTTTAACATCTACAGAATCTTTCCATTAAACAAAAGGTTCCTTTTAGTGGAAAAAGTTAAAATGTTCTTCACACCAAGATAAAAATGGTTTAAGAACTGTTCTATGGTTGGTTCTTTGTGGAACCCAAATATGGTTCAATTGCATATGCTGGAACCTTTATTTTTATGAGCGTATTGTACATATTAGATATTTCTGAGTGAACAAGGGTGCTTATCCTGGCGTTGTCATTTAAATTAGCCGCCCTCGGCCCCCTCTCTTGCTCTTTCTGTCTCTGTAGGGCCATCGTCGCTAATCAGCGTGGTTGATCTGAGGAGGTGGAGCGGCCAGCTGAATCTGTGACTGTTGGATTGCTCGTGGCCTCCTCCACCTGCAGATCGCACAGGACTAATGAAACCTCAGTTTGAGCCTGCCCTTTTCCCGCCATTTTTATTGGTGCGGTCCCTATGGTGCTCATTGGTGCACACTTTACCCCACAGTCAGCATTTTATAATTGACTTCCAAGTTTTAGTTAAATCATTTACATGGTTTTATATATTGGTAACTGACCAACATTTTGGACCAGGATAAACTGATCGGATATCAAATTCATGAGTAATGCTGTAAGGTTCATTTGTTGTTAATTATAATTTAATTTTTTATTAATTTGTTAACTACTTCAATGGACAACACTTCTTTATTCTTAGTTAAGTTATATCTTATTTGATGTTAATTTCAACATTTACTAATACAATTTTTTAAATCATCAAACATAACATTTAATGCACCGAGAACATAAGCCATAAATAAATGTATTTCAATTAAATAACATTAACAAAGCCGAATAAATTATTTTTTTTAAAATTGCTATAATTTTAATTAAAATTAATTAAAATTTTAATTAAAAATGTACAGATTTAATAAATGAGACCTAATTGTAATGTGTCACCAGTTAATTTTACTTGGAAATAGATTTTAGAAGATTTACATGCAAAAATGGTTTATTTTTAAATTGGCATTAAAAAAATTATCAGCACTTTTCTCATGTGCACAAATCAATCATATATAGGTGTATGGCTCTTTCTCAATATACAATCACATGACATAAAATTGTGCATTGTTTGCACTATTATTATAGTTAAATTAAACTCGAACCAGAAAACACACACACACACACATTTTTGGTTGCTTGAAAATATACACATTAATTGAAATAAATATGCATGTATGTGTATGTGTGTGTGTATATATATACACACACACACACACACACACACACACTGCCATTCAACATTTTGGGATCAGTAAAATTTTTAATGTTTTTAAAAATAAGTTTCTTATGCTCATCAAGGCTGTGTCTATTTGATCAAAAATACAGAAAAACTGTAATCTTGTGAAATATTATTGCAATTCAAAATAACAGTTTTCTATTTTACAGTAATATACTTTAAAATATAATTTATTCCTGTGAAGCAAAGCTGAATTTTCAGTATCATTGCTCCAGTCACCAGTGTCACATGATCCTTCAGAAATCATTCTAATATCAGTCACTTTAACACAGCATAAGATGCAGTTTTGAAAGTCATATTCGTTCCATTGCCTATAGTCCAAATGCATTATTTACATCCTCTAGTTTCATATGCACAGGTCAGAGTTCACCAAACTTCATCGTCTATGCACATGCTCGTGTTCCCATGTGAATGGATGCGAATGGGGCCCAAAGTCTTGTGTGACCGCACCTTTTAGAGCGAGCGTGCTGTTTGAGGGTCATACGTCACTTCCATCCGAACGAAAGCTATGCGGATGATGCTGGATCGGTTCCCGCACTCGGCGGCGCTTTAAATAGGTTCTAATTTTCTCTTTTCTTTTCATCTCTTCTCTTGTCATTGTGGTAATTTGAAGTTCACCTCCGCTGCTGCCCGAGGGCTGACAGTACCTCTGTGTGCCCTCCGTAATTATAGTCAGTCTTCCCAAAAAATGTGATCCCTGGACTTTTGTCCGTCAAGTGTCGTGACAGAGGAACAAAAGCACCTGCGATTTAACTGCAACAAAACTCCCTTTTGTCAAAGCCTGAATGATTTCTTTTGCCTATTGGAAATGAGGTCGCCCATTCGGATTCATCATAAATCATTCAATTTACGTCATTACTATACATTTTGAATGCCACAAGTTTTTGTTCGCTAGGGTATTACGACCACGTGAAGATATAAAAGTAGTGGATCATTTCATATTGTCGATTTATCTTCACGTGACTGAATTGATGCCAAACTATGACAATGGCCAAGCAGGTCAAAGTACGTTAATCCACACTGCTTACTTTAATACATTTATAATATTAATAACATAAGTCATGTGCAGTCATTGCATTTCACATTAACGAAAGCATAAATACTTCAACAAAACATTTAACATATCCTTGAAGCAAAGCATGCAATGCAAAAAGCCTGCTTGGAGAAATCTGTTATTTAAATTGCACTTAGTAAAAAATAAGCTGTGACCAAATGTTTAAGATTTTTTCTGCATTAATTGTCTTAAATTGAGCAAGCAGCAAAAACATAACACTATAAGAAGAACTGCTGTAATGGTCCAAAACAGCTCTAAACAAATATGTGGCTAGATTTTGATGTGAGAGACAACAGTAGATGGACTTTTTCATTGAAGGAAGCATTATTATGGATTCATATTTTAGCCGGAAGTGACGATGTAAAGTTAAAAGCATCCTAATGCTAAATCTGTTTCGTACAAACACACAGCTTTTGGCTTCACAAGACATTAACTGATGGGCTGGAGTGCTGTGGATTACTTGTGGATTATTGTGATGTTTTTATCAGCTGTTTGGACTCTCATTCTGACGGCACCCATTCACTGCAGAGCATCCATTGCTGAGCAAGTGTAATCAGTAATATTCAAGTAAAATTAACTCATTTCATTTCAAACATGCTAAAGATCCGAGACACTGAGACCAGAATATCACAGAGACTTGTGGACGCAAAACAATTCCCTAGCAACAATCTAGAACACCCTAGCAACCATGCACCCATCCTGTCAATATCTTATCGTAACCATGCAGAACATACTAGTCATTGTGCAGGCAAGTTTTGAGCAGGCAAAAATAACTAATTTGTTCTTCAGATAAACTTTTACTGTTGCACATTCATATTTTGTGGTGTTTCGAGGTCAGGTACCCACAGTAATGAGAGCTGTAATCCACTATAACACAAGCACTCATGCAGCATGCATTGGGGCCCTCAGGGGAATTGCATGATTGTCAGGTTTTCACAGGCCTCATTTCGGTTAAAGGGCTAGAAGTGCATCTCATTAGCTCTATTTCAAAACAGTAATGACACTCAAAACGTTAGCAAAAATGGTATCATATATATATATATATATATATATTATATGTTTAAGAAAAATATGCTGTTTAAATATATTTATACATAATATTAAATATAATAATATAAATACATAAATGTATATACATGTAAATATTTTCAAAATATATACTGTATGTGTGTGAATTTATATATACATAATAAATAAACAGTACACATACATATAGTATGTAAACAAAAACTTTTATTTTGGGTGTGATTAATCGTTTGACAGCACTTAAATACACACACACACACACACACACACACACACACACACACACACACACACACATATTTGGAATATTACACACACATATTTGGAATATTAAATTATTAATTAATATATTGATATTATATTAAGCAGTTTAACAGTTAAAATGATTATGTAATACTGCTAAAATCTATTTCTTTATGGAGAAAATAAATGAGATTTTTGCTTCCAGAACCTTGTTGGTCTCAAATATACCTGTCATGGGATTCATGATGTTCACTATTATGCCAAACAACATCGATCTGTGGTCGTCTACTGCAAAAAACTAAAGCATTTTTAGTGAGTCACAACAGATCATTGTTGGAGTGACTCACTAAAAATCATTTGCATGTGTTGAAGTTTGTGTTTGTGTCTGTGTTCTGTGTGTTTCACACTTTGATGGTGTGAACGCTGCCTTGAGTCGCCTGTTTGCTTTCCATTAAAGACGGACTTCACAAAACATTATTTGCTTGGGAAAATATTTGGACACTTAAGTCATGCATAAAAAATTCTGAATGTCACTGCATTAGAAATATAATATATTCATATGTTTAAGGGTAAATATGATTTTAAAAACAAAATAATAATGATTTTATTTAGCAAGGATGCATTAAATTGATCAAACGTTTCAGTAAAGACATTTATAATGTTAGAATCTATTTCAAATAAATGCTGTTCTTTTGAACTTTCTATTCATCAAAGAATCCTGAAAAATAAAACACATAATGGTTTCAAAAATATGAAGCAGCACAACTGTATTCAACATTGATAATAATCAGAAATGTTTCTTGAGCAGCAAATCAGCATATTAGAATGATTTCTGAAGATCATGTGACACTGAAGACTGGAGTAATGCTGCTGAAAATTCAGATTTGCATCACAGAAATAAATTATGTTTTAAAATATTTTCACATAGAAAACAGTTATTTTAAATTGCAATAATATTTCATATTTATGATCAAATAAAGGCAGCCGTGGTGAGCAGAAGAGACTTCTTTCAAAAACATTTGAAAATCCTAATTATTCCAAACTTTTGACTATATATACACTTTAAATACCGTATATTGGTGATAAAACGTATAATGTAATAATCTTGAGACATCTTTAAGTGTTTTGGACACTGCAAAATTCATCAACCAATATTAGGGCTTTCTAGAACATTCTAGGACACTCTTAAAGGGGTCCTATTATGCTTTT